TGAGGTGTAGCAGAGAGGAGAAAACGCACCACTTCACCGGTTCAGTGGTCTCGAGCCGCGCTGGTAGTTTTGGTTCCTGAGATTTCTGTTGTCATTGGAACCACTTTATACGGAGAGCTATTGGCCGTGAGGTATGTGGTTTATTCAGAGAACACTTTCCAAGGTGTGGTGGTTTAAGGTTTACCACTGAAGCTTCAAGGGGTGCTCATCTTTTGGAAGTCTTTTTTTATTCATATTCTTAGTCTTGTGAGTACCAGAAACTACATTAAATAAAACCTCCTTTATGTTTCGTTTTGAGACCTATAAAACCCATAAAATGAGCTTATTTGTTCTCTTTTAAGAATTTCTGTGAACTCGTACTTTCAGTGACAGAAGAAGTACTTAAAGCAATAAGCAAAAGTAGCAATACCACAGTAGAGTGTAGAAATGTCAAAAGTCCCAAAAGTGGTATACATATGTACGTACATGTACATAGTGTACGTGTAAATATGTATTATCGGAAATGACTGTAGCTAAAATATAAGCACTATTTTTAACAACTCCATATACTGGGGTGTAATTTAATTCAGGCAATAAGAAGGCATCATATTTTGTACATCTATCACAGTTTTTTATGAATAGTCACAAATCTACTGGACTACGAAAAGTTTAAAAACTTAATAAAAAATACCACCATACGCGTGCCGGCTGTCTTTGCCCCCTCAGCTCTGGACCCGTGCTCTGCGTACACCAGCCTGAACGAACCCTGGAGGAACACAGACTATCACGTCAAACAGTCCTCCGCCGGGCCCTTTTGTGACAGCCACGTGTCCGGAGAATGGTACCGCTTCACGGGCATGGCCGGGGATGCGATGCCCACCTTCTGCGTCTCCGAAGACCACTGCGGCACGCACGCTCCCATCTGGCTCAACGGCAGCCACCCTCAACCCCACGAAGGCATCGTCACCCTGCCGGCCTGCGCCAGCTTCAACGCCAACTGCTGCCAGTGGAACGCCAGTGTCGATGTGAAGGCCTGTACCGGGGGATATTTTGTCTACCGCCTACCCAGACCCCCAGTCTGCTTCTATGTGTACTGTGGCCGTGGGTGTTATATGTAAAGAGTCCTTTTTTGATAGTTTCTCTGTTGTGTATTGTTGATTTATTATGTGTGTGTGTGTGTGTGTGCGTGTTACCTAGATTTCTACGATATCTGTGATGAGGTGGACTGCGCGGGTCCAAGTTGTCCCAAGTCTGACTGTCGCTGTGCCCCCGGAACTGTCCTGGGACCGGACAGACAAACCTGCCTCGGTGAGACGGACAAAGCGGGGAGGAAGCGAGAGGACAGATAAGTTGTGCAACAGAGGTGGAGGACAGACGAGACAAGACGAGAGAAATCAAGCGGCCTGGCTTCACAGTGTCTTCAGCCACTGCTTTGAAAAACACACCATAGACAGATAAGAATTTACCATTTCTGGGCTATTTCTAGAGTTGCTATTGGTGATGTGGGGCATTCCCTGCAAAGACATCACAAGCCAATAAGATCAAGTCATCACGTTTACTCATTTACGCTGTTTCTTTAAGTTTTACATTTGGTTGTTTAATTTGAACATGATTAACATAGTGGACAACGTAAGGAATGTAAGCACCCGTGACTCGGTGCCACGCTCTCCTCTTATCTGCTGATCCTCATCTGGCGAATCTAATAAAATAAAATATCTATTTCTTTCATTAAGTGAATGCACTTAATTCCATACCAACAAAACAAACAAATGATTTGTAACAAAACAGAAAATATGTCCCCTACAGTAGTGTATTTGTGTCTGTACGTGTACATGTGAAGGGTCCGTACGTGCACCGAATCATTTCCTATTCTGAAAACCTCCATTATCTCATCATACACCCATCAACCAAATTCGCCCTCCGCTGTCTCAGAAGAACCTTCATTCTTTAATTTTCCCTGAATCCCCCTCCTCACTCTCTCGCTAATCTCACTTCAGTCCCTCCTTTCATTTCACCAATGATTATTTCTTTACTAATTATCCCCGCATTATTCACACGGCATTAACGTCCTTTATAGTCAGTTAATCATCTTCCTCCTAAGAACATTAAGTGATTTGCCTCAAGGTGATGAACTCCACCCTTCTGATTCTCAGTCCATTAATCCGGAGCTCATCTGACAATGACATCTGACCCGGTGGTGGTGTACGTCCTATCTTCAGATGTGAATGAATGTGCAAAGGGCAACGGTGGCTGTGCAGAGATGTGTGTGAACACCAAAGGCTCCAGGCGCTGTGAGTGCGGGTCGGGTCGCGTGCCGGCCGCCGATGGAAGCACCTGCAGAGGTACCTCCGTGGTGTGATGCTCCAATGTTGCACAGAGACGGTTGACCTCGGGAGCCACACGGTGCTCTTCATCTGTTCCCTTTTCTCCGTGTGGCCTCGTGCAGAGGTAGCAGGCTGTCATGTGAACAATGGAGGCTGCAGCCATGGTTGCTCCTCGCTATTGGACTCCTATCAGTGCCACTGTCCCAGAGGGCTGGAGCTGGGGGAGGATAAACGCACATGTCAGGGTGTGTATCAGTGTGTCTGTGTGCCTGCATGTCAGACCCCGAGGAAAGCTGACACAGAGATGCATGATTTTGTTCCTGATAGTAGAGGCTTGAACAAATTACCTCAATTTCCAACATTTCAGTGCAGGGTTAATATATGTACGGGAGGATTGGCAGTGGAGAATAATCACACTTTTTTTGAGAAATGAATGAGGGCAACAGGATATGTTGCTTCCTGACCATTTCCCAAATGCCATTTTGGTAGAAAATTTAGTGTGTTTTATTTTGTAGTTTCCTGTCCCCAATCAAATGAAAATTTGGGGTTGCAACAATTGATTAATTTCATTAGCTTTTAATCCTGGGTTGGTGTATTTTCCCCTCTGTAGTTGTATCCGTGCACTGTTTCATGTTTTTCTTGCCATTATACAGGACGATAATAACATGTCTTGGTCTCCGCTTGCTGCAGTGCCAGTCCAGTGTGATTCCAGCGCTATCATTGTGTCGGTCCCAAAGGACCTCGTGGAAGGACTGGAGCTCTCTCTGTCCAACTCGTCTTGTCGCGGCGTCTCCAATGGGACACACATCAACCTCAGCTTCAGCCTCAACACCTGCGGCACCGTGGTGGAGGTCAGAACCGCTGGGGGGAAACCTTTCATACCGAATGTGCTGTTTGAAAGAAATATTTGACCCCCCCCAGGTGACGGAGTACAAGATTGTGGGGACCAACCTGGTGACGGGCCTCCCTCGGAGCAGCCCAAGCAGCAGCAGTGACCTAATAGTCCGCAACAGCAAGCTGGTGCTCCCGGTCACGTGCGAGTTCCCCAGGGAGTACCGAGTGTCGGACGGATACCAGGCCAGTCAGCGCAGCTCAGCCCTGCAGCTGGCGGGCCGCAGCGAGGGGATCTTCCCCTTCTCCCTGGAGCTCTTCAAGAGCGCAGAGTTCTCGGAGCCCTACAGCACCCCGCCGCAGCTCCGCCTGCACGACTCCCTGTTCTTCGGGGTGGAGCCCAAGGAGAGGGTGGAGGGCCTCTCTGCGCTGGTGGAGAGCTGCTTCGCCACACCAGGGCCCAGAGCTGACCAGGCCCTTAAGTATTATCTCATCAAAGACGGGTGAATGGAGCGGGAAGTTATACATTACAGCAGTCTCATTACCGATGTCTTGTAGCAGAATGTAGCACTGCTGCAAAAATGTTTTTCTACCCTGCTACAGAATATGATAAAGCATTGGACCGACTCCAGATTTATGAGCACTATTTATAGAACATCTATACAGCAAGGTCGAAGAAAAAGATGTGTGAGTGATTAAGTGGTACAGAAAATGCGTTTTTTGTAAATTGGGTGAACTGAGCCATGTCAGTATTTGGCATACAATTAATAATTGGAAGAATCCGTTCTTTTTAACAACGTAAAATGCTTTACATGCGGCTCATAATAAACGCCAACGAGATCAGACCGAACCGCCGTGTGACCACAAAGCTCTAGCGTCTGCTGCTTGTGGAAGATCTCCACTCAGCGAAGTGTCAAGTGAACAACGCCACAGACTTCACACTCTGAACAATGTGGAAAGAAAACAAGTCGAAAATGTTTACACTCACCTTTGGCAAATTATTTATCCAACAAATATCAACAGAGCCGTGGTCTTATGTATTTTCATGAATCCTTTCAAAAATCAAATAGTGCTTTACGGCTGCTGACCTTGACGAATGACCTTGTCAGAGAAACAGAAATCATTTACGAATGTGTAAAGATACCAATAATTATTATTACTTCACAACAGATCCCATTTTCCTCTCTGACATGTTCCAGGTGTATCTCTGATGAAACAGTGACTCAGTACTTATCCAAGGACCAGCTCTCTAAGCACTACCAGGTTCCTGTTTTCAAGTTCATTGGAAAGGACAACCGAGTGAGTGAAGAAGTGTGTGTGTGGGCCCATGTCTGTCTGCGTACACTATCTGAAGTAGCATTGTGTTCTTCTCCATCTACTCAAAACAAGCTTTTCTCCTCCGTTTGCAGCAAGTGTTCCTACACTGCCAGGTGTTAGTGTGCCGAGCAGGAGACTCCCACTGCTCCAAAGGTTGTGGAGGACGTGTCCGCAGAGATGTTGGGACCACTGAACCTCAGGAGCAGCACACTCTGAGTGGAGGCCCCATCTTCATCGTGCCTGAGCCAGAGCGCTGAGCAACTCAAACTTTCATATGAATGCACCATGGGAGAAGATTGCAGAGCATCATTTAGATTAATGGAGATGAACTGGCCGTTTCAGCTTATTTGGTATTTTAAAGTCCTTTATATACAGATGAACATGCAGATGTACATTATACACACTCTTCTTTACTCCCATATACGTCCCTGCGTCACTAACAGTGCTGTATATTTCTTGAACTTTGCGTGTGTGTGTGTGTGTAGGTGTTTGCCTGGCAGTCAGATTTGCTGCTGACATTAAATTGAATGACATTTCTATTTGACATCATTCGGAGGGGCCACGGTTTATTTGTAGCAACTACAGCGTGAAGGATGTATTTTCTAGGTCACACGTTCAGACATTTCTCAGACTTGATTACAGTTTAAGATTTAGATTTACAGAACTGGTTTCTATTTCACAGCATTAATGAATTGAGAAATACACATGGAACACACATCAACATATTTGGACTCGTGGATGGCTGGAGGATCACGTGGCATGTTGGCAAAGAGATAGTACTGGGGTGGGCCTGGAAGGCAACAGAGATAGTGGTGGGGCGGGGCGGTAAAGTGCCTATAATTAATCTGGTCAGTTAAACTGAATTTAGTCATGCATTATATGAAATATGAAATGATGGCAAATGGAAAATCATTTACTTCAAACATTAAAGGAATAGTAGTAATAGACATCACATTTAGATTACATTGACTTTGAACATACTATCTTGATAAATAACCACACACAACAATTTGCATTTTAGTAATTCTATTATCTCGTTCTATCCAGAGGAAATTAATCCAACTACAATATCCTTCCCATCAGACACTGTATTTGGAGTCATCAAGGTCATTTATGGTATGTAATGTAATGGAGTCATAGAGGCCTAAAATGTCCTAAAAGGAAATGGAGTATGAAGAGTTTAAGACATGTGCAAAATCTATCAATTAACCTCTGGGCTCTTGTTAAGCACATCTTCTTTGACGATAAATACACAGTGTTTTGTGCAGAGACGCCTGTGACTGAGTTATTTGTCTGCGAATGCGTCCACAGAGTGCTTGTCACAGTTCCTCCCTCTCCTCTCCCTCGCAGACACACGCTGCCCTCTGGCTGTTCATGTAAGGCCTGCAGCCAAGAGTCCCCACTGTGCTGTGGAGGACGTCTGCCATTGATTCGCAGGCTAGGAAGAACATACGGAGAGATCAGAGAGAGGAAGGAGGAGGAGTTCATTCTTGTTTTTTTGGTAACTCACAACGAAGATGCTTGTGAACATCTTACCTTGCACCTTGGACACGAAGCCCAGACTCTTCTTAAGGTCGCCGCAGATGCCGTGCAGACACAGGCGGAACTCCGAGTCGCAGCGGTTCTTGCTGGTGCCGCAAGTGTCGTAGCACACGTCCAGCTGGTTGCAGCAGTTGGTCATAGCGGGGATCCCGAGGTCAAGCTGGGAAAAGAAAGAGCTTTGTTGTGTCAGTGAAGTTAACTGAGCATATGCAGACATTGTGGTTGTGTGTTAGGCTCCATTGTTTGGGCATAGTAGTGTGGTTCTGGACTGTCGGTGTTATGAACAAGACACCTACAACTGCATTCACCTGCAATCCCACCAGAGAGGAGCTGCAGCCGTTGGGCTCTTGGAGCTGGTAGCCGGGGCGCTTTTGAGGAGTTTCTCCTGTTAAAACCGAGAAGCAAAAGGTTCCATTTCAATTCCATCAACCAACTAATGTCGTCATGTAGCCCAGCCAAGAATCTATATCTGTACCATACCTATGTTCTTCAGAGTGTGGCTTTTTACAGATAAGACGTAACTTGTGTTGGTTGTCTACCTCACTGATAACCACGATGCATTCAGGGTACTTTATCAGCAACCAAGCATGATGTAAATAAGACGCTGATAAACTGACAGTACAGGGATTGATTTGACACATGCAAAGAAAACAAACACAAACTGATGGGAGGAATACAACAGGAATACTAAACGACAACATACTGTTAAACAGGTGCATTGATTCTTTTTTGGGGTCAATCAACAACTATTTGAACTTTGTAGCTATTTCTGATTCGAACCTACTGGACACTAAAACATTAGTAAAATAACTCTGTTAACTTAAGAGATTTGTTCTTACCGTATCTGCAGCGATACTGACACACACCATCGCGTCCCCCCGCCAGCTCCACCAATGACTCAAAGTATCCGTGGATACTCTGGAAACTATTTCTAATTGCGTTGATGCTCCAGCTGTTGTCATCTTCTTGTGCCAAAGAGTTATTTAGCGACAGGTCCGTCTGGACCGGTCTGATGTCATTTTCCTCCTCCGCCCCAGGAGAGGAATGTTGCTCCTGCGTGACGGCTTCACCAGCAAGAGCTTCCATAGCAGGGGGGTCTCCAGCAGCCATTTCCCTGTCTGTCTCTGGCTCATCGGCTGTTGCACCATCTCCCACCGGGACCTCCATTTTTGTTTTGTCAGCTGAAAGGTCGTCCACAGCCAACTCACTGTCACCACGAGAGGAGTCGGCTGCAGGTTCCTCCACTGCAGGTGAACTTCCTTGTTGGGTACCTGCAGGAGCTGCAGCTTCTTCAGCTGCTACAGCAGCAGAAACAGCATCGGAGTCCACAGGAGACGCCTGCTCCTCTTCAGGCGGAGTCTGGTAGTGGCCTAAAGTGGCACAAATGCCCGAGGACACACAGAGGAAGAGGAGGACGACAGCCCGAAGCAGCATGGTGTTGAACTGGGGACAAACCGAGCAGGAGACCACAAGGAAAGGTGTTGTTAACAGGGCGAGAAGAGCTCAGACAGTGACAAACGCTCACTGATCCTACTGGTCCCGCGAGCCAGGCGGCAGACTTTGACCTGGGATTAGGTTCAAGCAGACAGCGAGGCACACTGTCATGTTTGGGGGCAAAGGTCACCCCATATCAATCCAGAGCTTCTGTTGTTCATTATTGTCTGTTCTTCTTGACCACGTCAAATGAGTCATTTATGAATATTAAAATGTATTTATTAAAAAACTAGAGGCTCGGGGCAGGGAAGGATTTGCATCAAAAGAAAAATTTCAAAGGTGTGGTGGTTTAAGGTTTACCACTAAAGCTTAAAGGGGTGCTCATGTTTTGTAAACCTTTTTCATATTCTTAGTCTTGTGAGTACCAGAAAATACATTAAATGAAACCTCCTTTATGTATAGTGTTTAGACCTAGAATAAAATTAGCTTATTTGTTCTCTTTCAAGGATTTCTGTCGTACTTTCAGTGACAGAAGAAGTATTTAAAGCAATAAGCAAAAGTAGCAATACCACAGTGTAGTGTAATGCATCTATAGAGTAGAAATACTGTATGGAGTATCCATCCATCCATCCATCCATTGTCAAACCGCTTATCCTGCACTCAGGGTCGCGGGGGGGCTGGAGTCCATCCCAGCCAACTTCGGGCGATAGACAGGGTACATCCTGGATTGGTCGCCAGCCAATCGCAGGGCCACACAGAGACATACAACCATTCACACTCACATTCACACGTCTACGGGCAATTTAAAGTCCCCAATCAACCTGATCCCCAGAGCATGTCTTTGGACTGTGGGAGGAAGCCGGAGAACCCGGAGAGAACCCACGCAGACACGGGGAGAACATGCAGACTCCACACAGAAAGGCCACTGGGCGGAATCGAACCCAGGACCTTCTTGCTGTGAGGCGACAGTGCTGACCACCACGCCACCGTGCCGCCCTTGTATGGAGTATCAAAAGTCAAAAATAAATATATATTATCGGAAATGAATTGGCCCCAGGAGCAATAGGTCAGCCTACTAGCGCCATTTCTGTCAGGTCGAAGAGCTGCCTTATGGAGGACCCCCCCGACACGCTCGCCCCTAGAGAAAGTCGTCATGGATACATTTCTACGGGCTCTGCTGTTCGAAGCCAAAAGGTTAGCAAGCCAACCCTCAGAGTGCAGATCAGCTGGCGGAGTTGGTAGAGGGTCAGCAGGTTGCTTTAGAGGTCCTGCGCACAACCCCGGAAGACCGAACCCTCCCCCCGCCCGAAGGGGAGAAAAAGGATGGAGGAGCACGCTGGGGCTAATGGGGGCTAACGAGGGGGGGGATGCCCGCAGGTGGCTTCCAGAGACAACACCCTCTTGTAACTCTGGACAGCAGGAAGTGCTTTGAGTGTGGCGAGCCGGGACACGTCGCCTGGTCCTGCCCAAAACGTGATGTCCTGATGCCTACGGCCTCAGCGTGGAGGCGAGTCTGAACGACTTGTTTCCAAAGGACCAGGAGGTGGAGCCACATCCTGCCTCTCGAGCGGGTCAGTTTGGCACGACCCAAATAAAGGACCCCAATCTGTCCCACGCTCTCCAGCAAGTTACTGTAGTGGATGGAAAACCAATTGAGGGGATAAATCCTATCACCTACCCCCACTTTTCATCAAGAAGAAGAATGATGAATGTATGGAGATGTTCCTCTCCAGCCGGGATGCTATAGGGAGCTGGAACGCCCCTCCCTGCCGGTCCGAGCTGAAGGGGGGGATGTGTGGTAGGTTACGGGGAGAGGTGAGGGGGGTTGGTGACGGAGGGCAGGTATCTTGCGGTCAGATGGCTCCACCCCCGAGCCGTATATGGACTTCCTGCCTAACGAGGAGAGGGTGGGAACAGGCATCATATTTTGTCCACCTATCATAGTTTCTTATGTATAAGTCCCAAATCTACTGCACTACAAAAGTTTAAAGTATCTCAAAATAAAAAATACCACCGTACTTCTTTTATTGTTCTACCAACATCTCCAGCTCCTAAACGCATATGTACATCATGCTCCTACTTTTTTCCCCGAGCACGTGCAACTAAGTGCTGGTTGTCTTTGCCCCCTCAGCTCTGGACCCGTGCTCTGCGTACACCAGCCTGAAGGAACCCTGGAGGAATACAGACTATCACGCCATTGTTTTGAAAAACACATCATAGATAAGAATTGACCATTTCTCTGCTATGTCTGGAATTGCTATTGGTGATGTGGGGCATATCCTGCAAAGGCATCACAAGCCAATAAGATCAAGTGATTTGTTTCATGATTTGATCAGAGGGCTTTAATGGTAGTTATTATATGGTGGTGGGCTGCTTTTGCACTCGTTTCGGTGCCCGGGACTCATTTTCCTGACTCACACGTTGCTCCCATAGGATACACTTCATACTCATGTTCATCATCTTATACAAGTTCATTGGAAAGGACAACCGAGGAAGTGTGTGTGTGAGCCCATGTCTGAAGCTTTTCTCCTCCGTTTGCAGCAAGTGTTCCTACACTGCCAGGTGTTAGTGTGCCGAGCAGGAGACTCCCACTGCTCCAAAGGTTGTGGAGGACGTGTCCGCAGGGATGTTGGGACCACTGAACCTCAGGAGCAGCACACTCTGAGTGGAGGCCCCATCTTCATCGTGCCTGAGCCAGAGCGCTGAGCAACTCAAACTTTCATATGAATGCACCATGAGAGAAGATTGCAGAGCATCATTTAGATTAATGGAGATGAACTGGCCGTTTCAGGTTATTTGGTATTTTAAAGTCCTTTATATACAGATGAACATGCAGATGTACATTATATACACTCTTCTTTACTCCCATATACGTCCCTGCGTCACTAACAGTGCTGTATATTGTTGTGGAATATTTCACTGTTAGAATGATTTGTTTCTAGGTTTATCTAATAAAACAGACTTAACGAATGATCAAAGTTGTAAAAGTAAATTTATTGCCCCCAGGAGGTCAAATGCACAAGCGCGTATTACAGTGCTCTGTGGAGATTGCGTCTCCGAGCAGTCAAAGCTCGGGGGCCTTTATACACACACAAAAGGTCAACCTCAGTGGCAGGTGGTCCGCGGGGAATTTCCAGATACATTTGAAACCAGTTTATGAAACATGCACACAATACATATGGAACTATTAACATAGTTGTTCTTTTTTGAGCCTTTGTTATGAGACTGTTAGGGTAAAGTTCAAGATGAGGTCGCAGACGGTTTCCTTTTTCCTGAGCACACGGCAGCAAACAGGAACTTCAATACAGACAATTATCACTCTTTTAGCAAAAGGCTGTTATAACATATTTTACCATTACAATATTTCTTGAATTTTGCGTGTTTGTGTGTGTAGGTGTTTGCCTGGCAGTCAGATTTGCTGCTGACATTAAATTGAATGACATTTCTATTTGAAATAATTCGGAGGGGCGACGGTTTATTTAAGCAACTACAGCGTAAACGATTTCTAGGTCACACGTTCAGACATTTCTCAGACTTACATTTAAGATTACAGTTTAAGATTTAGATTTATAGAATTGGTTTCTATTTCACAGCATTAATGAATTGAGAAATACACGTGGAACACACATCAACATATTTGGACTCGTGGACGGCTGGAGGATCACGTCACACGTGACATGTTGGCAAAGAGATGAGAAGACAAAGGAGATAGTGGTGATGTGGTGAAGTAAAGTGCCCATTAATCTATAATTAATCCGGTCGTTTAGTCGTGTATTATATACATAATATAGATATCACATTTAGGTGACATTGACTTTGATCATACTATCTTGATAAACAACCACACACATCAAACAATTTGCATTTTAGTAATTCTATTATGTCATTATATCCAGAGGAAATGAATCCAACTACAATATCCTTCCCATCAGACACTGTATTTGGAGTCATCAAGGTCATTTATGGTAATGGAGTCATAGAGGCCTAAAATGTCCTAAAAGGAAATTGAAGAGTATTGAAGAGTAGTAAAGGAGTATGAAGAGTTTAACACATGTGCAAAATCTATCAATTAACCTTTTGAAAGCCATATTGAGATACTTGATATATGATGCTTGATATATTCCTGTAACACGGCACTAAACCTGCAGTGAATCTTTGATTAGATTGTTTTGCCTTTCAGCGGGATGTGCACGGTGGAAACAACTGTCTGTGTGTTCAGTCTTCAAGAAAGTTTCCACGTTCGGGTCACCTGCTTTTATTCCCTCTGCAAGCTTTTGTCGTCTTTCTACATGGAGTGAGTTCTTCACATGGCCGTCTCCAACGTCTCACCATTGATTCATTGGAGCCAAGTTTAAGTGCAGCCGCTGTTTCCTTCTCCGACAGAAAGACTAGTTGCCCGACACTTAAATGCTGCATCACGCGCATTCCCACGTTTATTTTCCACGACGAGTGTTTTGAATATGATGCACAAAATGTCTGTTACTAAACAAGCGTCTTCCCCGGCGCATTATCTCTTGCACGTGCAGGGACACGGCGTGAGAAATTGGATGTGTGGCGGGAAACCAAAGTGAGTGACTGTCACGCTCAATGCGTGACACTTGAGAGCCCTGCACGTGTCTGTCTCGCGCGTAAGCCACCGCTGCATAAACCACAGGGTTCAAAGCGTGGGGGGGAAAAAAGCAGCGGCTTGTAGTCCGGAATTCCGGCACATCCTCTTTGACGATAAATAAACAGTGTTTTGTGCAGAGACGCCTGTGACTGAGTTATTTGTCTGCGAATGCGTCCACAGAGTATTTGTCACAGTTCCTCCCTCTCCTCTCCCTCGCAGACACACGCTGCCCTCTGGCTGTTCATGTAAGGCCTGCAGCCAAGAGTCCCCACTGTGCTGTGGAGGACGTCTGCCATTGATTCGCAGGCTAGGAAGAACATACGGAGAGATCAGAGAGAGGAAGGAGGAGGAGTTCATTCTTGTTTTTTTGGTAACTCACAACGAAGATGCTTGTGAACATCTTACCTTGCACCTTGGACACGAAGCCCAGACTCTTCTTAAGGTCGCCGCAGATGCCGTGCAGACACAGGCGGAACTCCGAGTCGCAGCGGTTCTTGCTGGTGCCGCAAGTGTCGTAGCACACGTCCAGCTGGTTGCAGCAGTTGGTCATAGCGGGGATCCCGAGGTCAAGCTGGGAAAAGAAAGAGCTTTGTTGTGTCAGTGAAGTTAACTGAGCATATGCAGACATTGTGGTTGTGTGTTAGGCTCCATTGTTTGGGCATAGTAGTGTGGTTCTGGACTGTCGGTGTTATGAACAAGACACCTACAACTGCATTCACCTGCAATCCCACCAGAGAGGAGCTGCAGCCGTTGGGCTCTTGGAGCTGGTAGCCGGGGCGCTTTTGAGGAGTTTCTCCTGTTAAAACCGGGAAGCAAGAGGTTCCATTTCAATTCCATCAACCAACTAATGTCGTCATGTAGCCCAGCCAAGAATCTATATCTGTACCATATCTATGTTCTTCAGAGTGTGGCTTTTTACAGATAAGACGTAACTTGTGTTGTCTACTTGATTCGACACGTGAAAAGAAAACAAATACTAAACGACAACATACTGTTAAACAGGTGCATTGATTCTTTTTTGGGTAGTTCAACTATTTGAACATGTAGCCCATTCTGATTCGAACCTACAGGACACTAAAATAATTGTGTTGTTATTAGAAAAATAACTCAACTCTTATGTTAACTTAGAGATTTGTTCTTACCGTATCTGCAGCGATACTGACACACACCATCGCGTCCCCCCGCCAGCTCCACCAACAACTCAAAGTATCCGTGCAAACTGCGGAAACTATTTCTAATTGAGTCGATGCTCCAGCTGTTATCATCTTCTTGTGCCAAAGAGTTATTTAGCGACAGGTCCGTCTGGACCGGTCTGATGTCATTTTCCTCCTCCGCCCCAGGAGAAAAATGTTGCTCCTGCGTGACGGCTTCACCAGCAAGAGCTTCCATAGCAGGGGGGTCTCCAGCAGCCATTTCCCTGTCTGTCTCTGGCTCATCGGCTGTTGCACCATCTCCCACCGGGACCTCCATTTTTGTTTTGTCAGCTGAAAGGTCATCCACAGCCAACTCACTGTCACCACGAGAGGAGTCGGCTGCAGGTTCCTCCACTGCAGGTGAACTTCCTTGTTGGGTACCTGCAGGAGCTGCAGCTTCTTCAGCTGCTACAGCAGCAGAAACAGCATCGGAGTCCACAGGAGACGCCTGCTCCTCTTCAGGCGTAGTCTGGTAGTGGCCTAAAGTGGCACAAATGCCCGAGGACACACAGAGGAAGAGGAGGACGACAGCCCGAAGCAGCATGGTGTTGAACTGGGGACAAACCAGCAGGGGTCCGTTTGAAGGAGCAGGTTTAGTGCTTAGCTTAGTGTTTAGCAGGTTAACTCAGAGTTTGTTAACCCTGAGATGAGGGGAACTCTGGCTTGGAGGTGACCAGCTCAGGGTCAGTCTCCATGGTAACTGAGCCTGTGAACGTCAGCTGGTCGGGAGCAGGTTTTCCTTCACAGGCTCCTCCCTCTGACAGCAGCCCAGCCAATCACACGGCGCGCGTTCATTTCCTCATTCATTCTGAATCAGGCGGATTTTAGCGCAGTTTCCACATATGAACAATATAAGATCTCTGTTACGTAAACGACTAAAGTGTTTTCTCGAACATGACGCGTCCTTTTCTGGACGATCCTGTTGATGAAGAAGCGGCTTTACTTCGCAGGGTGTTAAACACGTCGGGAGAGAATATTGAGGCCCCGATTAGACATATTCCCATTTCCAGATAACTACTTGTTTAAACGGTATCGTCCATCAAATATGCACATGACCTCATCCGTCCTCATAGAAGTAACGTCACTCATCGTGGACATGCTCTCACATACGAGCACATCCTTTGTGTAGTATTACGTTTTTCTGCAAACGGTAGTTTCCTTTATAACATCAGAATATTAGTAAAGCTGCTGTCTGTGTGTAAATTAAATATTAACTGTCAACACTATATTGGAACATTATAAGTGAAGATTGAAGAAATATATTTTATTCAAAAAAATTGTAAAACTGAGGCAAAACCCAAAAATACTTTTCGTGCACTTATTTTTATTTTGAATATATTTTTCAATATTCAACACCAAAACATAAGCTTTCAGGTTCACATTTGTTTTTGAAATGATCAAAACTTTTGACCTGGATTTGGCTCCATAGATTTGCCGCCATAGACTTTGACCTGGGATTCGGTTCAAGCAGACACACTGTCATGTTTGGGGGCAAAGGTCACACCATATCAAAGCAAAGCTTCTGTTATTCCTTATTCCTCTTATTGTCGGTTCTTCTTGACTACATCAAATGAGTCATTTATGAATATTATTTTCCAATTCATTAAAAAACTAGCGGCAGAAAGATGTTCTAAAAAAGTCGGAAATATGTCTGTAATAATATATAATTTAGCAAGAAAGGCCACACTATGTAAAAATAGTCCCAGGTTATAAAACCTAAACATTCAACAAAAAGGATCAGAAGCAGCGCTCCAACCGTTAAGTAAAATGCATATTTCTGATCTTCTTTGAATGGTGAAAAACTGATATGAATCACTTGTAAGTAAAACTATTTCTATTACAATTCCAGAAGAAATGGTGATGCATTACATTTCTACCCTTGCCTAGTAAATAATATCCATTTATATCTAAAAGGAAATATCACCATTATGCATAGTGGTGCAGCCGAATGTCTTCTACTAGTCTTTGCTACAACTGAGGTCAATTTCAGGAGACGACAGTAAAACGTCTTTTGCCATCTGGTGGCTGCATTGAAGTACTCGGAGACGGAGCTCGCTGCGAGGAAATCATGCAGCAGCCCGGCCGATCTCTGGCACAGTCGTTTTGGGCAATAAATAACAATGGCCCTAGTCAAATCCTTATATATATAGTATGAAATAAGTAATATGTGAACATATTATGTAAAAGGAAGGCTGGTTCTCTTGGTATAACATCACAGATGATTCTATTGGATTGGGACGTCTCTGCTGTCCTCTGCTGGTGGAAAGGTAACGTGCCCCTAATGCTCCGGATTATTTTGAACTTTCTAGTGAACCTGTTCCACATTAGACGTCTGTTAAGGATACCAGTTGCGAATGATCTCATGGAGTTTCAAGTTTTTCCTTCCAACGTCTCATCCAGTCGGTACAAATGAATTGTCTCCGGAGGTCAGCAAAGAGAATGATGGTCTGTGGTATCGTGTTCATACTTGCGGTTAAGAGGCAGCATACCGAATAAATCAAAGAAAATGGATGTTACGATATCCAGGTTTCTTTCTGCTTTGAAACTGTTTTCTTTTCAACTCATTAACATTTGAGTCGTTCCAGGCTGCAGGTATAATATTGGATGTGTATCTTAAGGTGGAAGTTGTTCATTTTAACAAAATACATATTGCACTGCTCTGGGCCACAGAAACAACATGTGTGAATTTCAAAATGCATTTACGTTGTTTTTATACTTTTAAATCTTATATAGATTTGACGGTTTTTGTAGCATTTGTACATTGTATTATTGCTAGCTTGATACTGGTGGTGGTTTTGAGCTTTGATCGTGGGATGTTGTTTCTGGACAAAGGCAATTTCTACTAGTATTTCATTATAATTAAGTTTGCGGATGACAGATGACGCTGTGGAATATGTATTCCCTTCATTGTACTGCACTTTGGAAAGTCCATCTAAAGAATGATCACCGTTGATGGAGCTATTCACTCTCTGTTTGTAGATCACAATGTATTTCGTCCCACAACGTCCTAAATGGTAAAACAACAACAGCAGCAGATTAATAAAAGGAAGAGTCATGAGTCTCTACATCAAGTGTCGCAGCAACACATAACGAACCGTCTCGTGGTCTTGCTGGCCTTCTCTCTGTTCAGCACCATGTTGATGTTGTTTTCCAAATCCTTCAGGGAAAAATGCAAAGAATAACAGCATGACATGTTCCAATCCTTATTCCTTAAACAAATGATTAAACAGTTAAAAATCCCTTGCCTCGTTCGCAGTATTCAAACAGTTATTTGAGGCAATCAGTCTCATTATCTCCATCTAGAAACAAAGATAATAGAAATAAATAGATAAATAAAACATGCAGCAATATGCATTTGTGACCCTGCAGAAGTGGCTGCACACGTCCTGCTTTACTTTTAATCCTGAAAGACCCCAAATGGGATGCAACCGTCCCGCTGTGCTGTTCATGAACGTGTGAGGAAAAGGGCACAATATTTGACTTTGAGACAGACAGCTCATCTCCCACCACCTTTAGATCTTTGATGCACCGCTGCACGGCCGTGGTCGTGACGGAGGCCACCGGCATCTCCTTAAGCTCCTCCTCCAGCTGCTGGTTCTCCCGCCACGTGTTCAACACCCGAAGCCGCTTGGATTGGACGCTGCTGCTGCCGTGGCCGACGTCGAGTCCTCCGTCATGCCGGCCGGACAGAGACGCATCTGTCCGAGCACACAAGAGGCCAATGTGAAAGCAGTGTGTGATGTGTCTGCGCATTTCCCTGAAGGCATTGGAAAGTCACAGATGGTATTAAATTGTTTCTTCAGTCTGTGGACATTAGAAAAACTACATTTAAAATTGAGCATGTGCTGTGGCCTGCAGGTAAATATACAGTGATCATCTACCAGGGTAATCTTGAGACTTGCTCGTCATGTCACTGTCCAGCGGGCTGACGGTAGCTGGGATGTTCTTTGATTCGTTTCGGGCTCTGAGGTCAAACGGGAACAAAATGCTTAGAATAATAAGACAGTATAAAAAATTAGATTTTGGTAGGCAGATCCTTGCAGTACCGTTTATTCTCCTCTAGAGCTCTCTTGGCAATGAGCTCCAGCCTGAAAACCTCCTTTTCTGAATCCTCCAAATCCATTTGCCTCACTTTGTCATCGCCGAGAGCTTTGAGCGAAGTCTCCAGCGACTGAAACAGAACAACAACAAATACCTCTAACGCTTTTATGTTTATTTAATGTTATTGACAGGATATTAAGCCAGAAATTGACATACATTTCTCAGGCCTTCTTCTCATGTTTTATGTATTTATTTTAATAGAATATGAGCAGTGTGATTTACCTTATTTTGAAGTAATGTTTGTGAAGCCATCAAGTGGTTGACGTACATATCGTACTCTGTCTGGAAAGAGAAAAGAAAATACTATTTTGTTTCAAAAGGATTTGTCTTTGTAGAATAGATCGGAACTTGTGGTGTTGAAAAACTGAATATTGGAAACAATAATATCCTTTAATTTACTGCTCATGCATTTGTCCCAACACACACTTCATTGCATTTTAGCTGATGGTAAAAAACTGTGGACATCGATCATGAACATACTGCCTGGTCCACATCTGGTTTTAAATGAAATATTTACAGTTATTGTAACATAACAGTGAGATGATATGTTAATATATATTTTAGCTGCATCGCAACCTCACAATCAACTTATTACAACAACTGACACGACTGTCAAGAAACGACAGGTTCAATTGAATTTTTTTTCACGAGCCAAATGCACAAAAATCACTAAACTACCGACAAATCCATTGTGTGCAAACGAATCCTTTTGCGTAGACCTGAGGCGTTTCTAATGAATGAGCACTGAGCAGTATGATGACCTGCACCACGACCAGGCTCCAGTGGCTGCTCCACTTCCGTTTGCCACACCAGGGACCCCCGTCTCTCTCGGCTCTCGCTCAACTGAAGTGCGTCGGACGGCACAGGCTAAAAATGAGCGGGTGGGTACAGAGGAAATGGGAAAAAAACCCACCTTAATTTCCCTCAGGATGCGTCCAAATACTGGTGAGCCTTCACATACATCATCAAAGACACCAGCGAACACCGCCAGGCGTTCTCTGCCGGGGCGGCTTGCCGCTGACGACCTTTCCAGCTCCTGGGTGGGACAGGGAGACAGTTAGGACGTGTGTGCACCTTCTGCAAGAGTTTGAGAGGACATTTCAAAGCGCCGTCTTAAGTAAAATGAGTCTGTTGCAAAATGAGCTGCAGGATGTCACAGTTTGTGCGAGAACTCTCACCTTTTGTAGTTTCCCCTCGTGAATTTGGGCAACATTTATTCCAGCCCAGAAGTCCTGCTTGGCCACGACTTTCCCGCCCAACCGTTGCTTCGTCTTAAACAGGCCTTTATCACTCGGGCCTTTTTGCTCAGAATGCTGTTTTCCCAACAGATCAGATGGAAAGTTTTTCTTTTTCTGATGCGACGCTCTCGGCAGGAGAACCAGTGAGTTTGAGGAATGGAGATCTATCTTAGGCAGACACTTCTCCTCGGTTTTGTCTGCACGCGATGAGCAATGCGCGGCCGGACCGCGTCTTGACCTCGGGACGTCAGACTGTACAGCGGCAGTGTCGGGGCCGAACTCAGAGGGGCAGTGTTTCACCGCTCTCTTCTTCGGGCCCTTCGTCGGGGTCACGAGGTTCGGGGTTCCCATCCTCCAGAAAGGCTGCTTCGGCCCCCTGTGAGGCGGACTCTGGTTCAGGCTGCGGGGCCCCAGATGACCCGAGGAGTAGGTCGGGATGTCGGCCTTCTGACCGGCTTCAGCAGCCAGCAGCAGGCCGTGGACGTCCCTCCTGAAGCCCCCGGGCTTCGGGTTACATCTGCTGGACATGGCTACGAAGGGGACCAACGCGCCGCCGTGTTGTGAAGCTTTTGTTGAATGTCGCACAAGGTGAAAATAAAAGGTCCTACATTAAGACACAAAATTGAGGTAAAGCCAGTCAAATCTAAGCATCAAAAACAACGTTTATAGCCTTTACATTATTTCTACTAAGAGAGTTGAAGCTTGTGTAGAAAACAGACACCTAAAAGGAACAAACTCACCTGTCAGCTAACGGTAACTGTAGTTTTGTTCGGAGTCGCGACATAAAACAAACACTCTGCTCGAGGGCTCAGTTGTCAAGGAGACGCAAGCACGTGGTCTCTGTGAGGCATTCAATGTCTTGATAATAATCGTACTCGTGACCTTTTAGCTGCTAGCTACACTCGGGCACACTGTGAGAGGCAACAACGAAGTTGATCATAAGCATAAGATACTAAGCATTAAAATATAAAGGAATTAGATCGCTAAGTTGTATAAAACAGTTGTAAAATGAAAGTAAATGACATTTGTTCTTGTTTTTTGTAGCTTTGAAATCCATAGAATCTACTAAATCTCTTCATTTTTCCTCTTTGGAAGGTGGCAACCGATGTGAGGGTTTCAGGACAGAGGATGTACAGATGTGTACAGACTGTAAAGCCCTCTGTGGCAAATTTGTCATTTGCGATTTTGGGCTATACAAAATAAAATGAATGAACTGAATTGAATAAATTGCTCCTATTTCTATTTTCTTTCGTATTTGTGATATTTAAATGACTGGACTGCCACAAAATCTTGCGCACAATGACCAGAAAAATGTCATGTAATGAGCTTCTTGGGGAAATCTGCTCCTGCAAAGGTTTCAATCACCAAACTATCAGGGATTGAATGTCCAGAATAGGTAAACAGTGCAAAAATTGTGTGTTAGGAAACCGACAGCGTAACATGTTGAAACAAAGGCTTTACAATGAGGTCCACATTTATTGGCCTTCCTGGGACCCCCCCCTCATAAATATTTGAGGCACTGATTTTAAATAAAATGTAGTGCAGGATACGAGTGGCTCCTAGAGGCTTACTTGCCAGTCTGACGACGTTGATGACTACATATTTACAAATTTATGAATTATAGGAAAACATCCAATTAAAGTGCAAGTGACTTCAATTGTAGATTATGAAGTTTTTTTTCTTCTATTCCATCAAGCAGGTATTTGCAAATGGCTGAACAGTTGGCTTTTTTATAGATCCACAATTCTTATTTATATTTAAACATTTCACAAAAATGTACAAATATTTGATCCTGACTCATCTCTTGAACAAGGAAATAAATGGGCCCGAATAAGTATGTAAGTTGCTGACGAATCAAGGGTGATGCCTTGTCACCATTCTAACAGCTCCATCAATAAAATAGTGAATTAATAGTAGTAGGTAGAACGGGGAAAAAAAGAAGCATCTGACACCAACATATATTTTCCAGGTATTTAATAAAAGTCATTTGGGCTACTGCTCTTACATTTACAAGACATTCTGCAATTATTCTGGGTAACAGTAACATGTCAGGACCGTTTTGCTTATCTTGATTTTTAATTTGTACAAAACAAAAAGGCCAACATTATTTTTCTTTGTATAAAAAATATAAGTTAATTTAAATTTAACTCTAAGAAAATAACATCAGTAATAATTGCAATAATAATCATCAATAATAATAATAAAAGATAATAGGCTAAACATAATGCAGACAATGAAATATAACTAGTGCTGAAAAATAGAAGGGACAGTGCAGTGTTATGGACTTATCCATGTTCTCAGGTGGGAAAAGAGACAGTCAAAAGTCTCTCTTTCAATCTCTCCCTCTCACACACACACACACACACACACACACACACACACACACACACACACACACACACACAGTCTGAAAGTGCACAACTGCCATTCAGTTTAGCGCCATCAGAGCACACATCTCTGTCAGTACCAACTAATTCCTAGATTGCACACATATGCACCGATTAATGTTTTCTGCAAAATTATATATAAAGTTCAGTAGAGGTGCATGCTAATTGTTGCTCTTGATTGAAGCTTACTGGAAGTAATTCTGAAACGTAAGACAGGGCACATCATGAAAACTGATGGCGCACTTACCCACATACCACCACCGAGGATTGTCCATTAACAAAACCTTTCTCTAGATGCACAGTCACACCATTTTGGAGCCACAGTACCAGTCGCAAAACTAATTTTTATGTCCACTGGAATGACAGTTTCAGATGAAGTAAATTGACTTTTGGAAGATCTTGGAAACTCCTTTGAAAGGGTTCAAATGTTCCCCCTCGCATGGCGCTGAAGAGAAAGCATAAAGGAGGATTTATTTCTGTCAACAGATCATGGAATCTTTTACACACTTGCAGAAAGTCAACCAATCCTTCTAAAGTTGCAACCCCAGCGATAGACACATGGTGCACTTTAACTTGACTATCGCCGAGCTGCTGTGCCCGACATAGTCAGCAAAATAGTGTCATAAATGTTTCACACTACGGCTTTGAACCGGCAAGGACACCGATGTCCACCTCACTGTCACTGTATAGTCCTCCATTTTCTTCCACCCTTCACCATGTGTTTAATGTATGCAAACTGTGTTTGATGAATCAGGGTGCTGTCTAGTCATTAAATAAAGTGGTTAACGTGTAAAAAGTTTGTTGTGCCACTGCAAAGCTTAAAATATTCTGCAAGGACTCTTGGATATTACTTGTGTTTTATTCATGGTTGTAGAAATGATTAATGATGAAGATTGCTGCGTGAAATTATTAAAGATGTGATAAAAATGTGACGACAGTAAAAATCCAATAGTCTTATATATAAACCTGCACACAACTATACTATAACTGATGCTATTCATGCATCTTCTCCCCCCTCTCCCACACACTCACACTAGTTCTGCTCACCTGGGCTCAGGTTCTGTGGTTCAGAGGAAAGTGGATGCATTGTGCGGCAGGTTCCTAAATGCCACGAGGGGCCGTGGGCAGTGCTGTGGGCTCCACTTCAGGGAGAAACATTGTGACTCTCTTGTGACTGTGCTCACATTATCTAAATCCTCTTGCCACAGTTCATTCAGGTTTTGTAGATTACGCTGTGAGGGATTTCTCAACGCAGGCTGTATGTTTTTATTCAAGTACTGCAAAGGATATTTGCTCAAAAAGTAATAAAAAAAACATTCCGGCCTCCTCCTCGTCGGTAAGGTGGCGTTAAACCATCTGCTCTACACATTCCTCCTGTCTCTGGAAATACCTTGGTGAAGTAGTGTGCGTACGATAAACCTACCACAGAAGGCTAACAGTACCATTTCAAGAAAAGCCTGAACCAACAACAAGAGTTCACATATTTCTAGCCCGTGAAAGGTTCAGAGTAAGGCCTCTGCAAATACAAGACCGTTAAAGAATCAGCTCATGTAAAAAAAAAAAAAGAAAGAAAAACAAAAACAAATCTTAAAACATAAAACTGCCAAAAGATGAAACAACCATAACAGCACATGTCCATTCTAACCAAATGAATTCCCAAGCTGAGGGGATGTGGAGCGACGGGTTTGAAGTCCCTCCACATCGGCCGCCTGTCAGTCTCTGGGATCGGCGGAACCGTCGCCGTTGACACCATCGTCACCCAGTGAGGTAACCGTGTGTTCACAAAGTCAAGTCGCCTTTAGCTGATCCGTCTCCTGCTAATGCAGGATGTGCCCCCCCCCCCCCATACCCCTCTACGAAGCACCCGGTCCGCGGCAGGAGTCTAGTCTTGTATTCCTTTGGTGGGCCGGCGGCCCTTTTGGTGGTCAGTTGTCGACCTTGACGGGTCCAGAGTCACTGGGGCGCTTGGGAACCACGTCCGGCACCTCTCCCCGCGATATCTTCTCCCACTGGCCCAGGTTTTCCCTGCAAACACAAAACAGCTCCATCAGATTCAGAGATATTCCATTTCTTACTGCAAATACACGCAAGTGTCAATCAAATACATGTAAACTGACCAAATTAAGTATTTCACAGCTTTTTCAACTAGATTGTATTGTACAAAACGGGCCATTTTGATTTGGGAACACTATCGTTGTATATTTGTTACATATTAATTTCTTGCACTCCTGTAGCTTCTGATGGGCTAGCTAGTTAGCACACAAGAGTATTGCACTTTGCTGCCACAAGGGTGTGCATCGGATGTTAACAGAGCAGAAACTTTAGACATACAATTTAAACAGAAAAATCTGAATATCAAGATAATCAGAATGTAAGATATGTTGCTGAACAGATCTAAACGAAATTGTAACAACAAAACAAAAAGCTGCATTAAACTTCAACAAGTGTCATTAAGACTAAATAGAATCAACAATGGTGAAAAGCATATAAGCGAAGCAATTGTAATTCATTAGTCATCTGCAGCACCCATCAGGCCTCGCTGTCATGAAGATAACCTCTTCCCTTTGTGCTATAATTAATCCTGACACACGAGTGCTGCCCTTTGCTGCATTCACTCAGCCGGGCCGATGCAGTCTACGCTTCTGCAGCAGATCCCACAGCAAGCAGCCGGCTTCTGGGTTCGCTGCTGACGTGCAGCCGGGATTAAACATTACACTGCTCACTTTGTTTGTATTCGCCCGCGGATCAAGGTCACTACCTTTTAAAGACCAGCAGGTTACCCCCCCCCCCGGAGGACGGGGATGGGGGGGGGGGGGGGGGGGGATGTTGGCGGCAGGTGCCATATGATCCCGTGCAGTGCGACAAGCAGAAATAGCACATATGGACACAAGTCACACACTCTTATTGATTGGGAGAAGCTTACACATACACATGCACGCTGTTTCTGTTTAGTGCTCGGCAATATATTTTGAGATGTGTCTGCCTGAATATGTTTTTCGAGAGTTTGAGAACAGTTTGTTTAGTCTCATATCAGTGCAGCAGTGTGCGTTTTGTTTGTATTTTCAGTGGAACTCTTGGAATGTGCGCCTAAACACGTACTTCTTATCACCTCTATTTGTCCGGTTAGCAAAGGCCTCACTTTTTGCTCTTCAAGCTGCTGTCAGCGCATTCAGAGGGCATATCAGATGAAATACGATATCGTGTGAAGTAACGTTCGGATTGTTTAATGTTTTTCACCTATTTACCAAGAAAAAAAGGGAATTAAAACACCTTCAATCAGATATTGTTTTGCTAAACACGTACATTCTCTGTCACCTCACGATCTGCACAGTCTTCTCAAAGGACGCAGGGAAAATGGAGATGCACTCGCATACCTTCAATCTGTAACTTTGAATACTTACTTGCAGGCATTTAAAAGAGGACTAGATGGAGGGAAAAGCTTTGCTAGCGTCGTATAACACGGAACTGCCACAGCATTGTAGAATCCCACCTTAAAGAACAGACAAATACAAAAAGCACACACAAAATGATTAATTGTCTAATGAATGATAAGTCAATACCGACATGTTTTTTAAACGCACTTATTATTTTCTCTGTTGTCTGTGATATTTTGATGATAACTATAGATGCATATTATGACAAAGAACTTCATATGTAGTTTGTGTATCATTATTATGAACATCATTTTAAGGTAATTATGCGTAATAAAAACATAATTATCATGTTGTAATGTTCTTAAGGCCTTTCCATGTTATCAAGCTATTATTGTTTAGTATAACTATAACAGCAAATGTATATGATTTCAGTACTTTTATTGTTGTATGCTGCATTGCTTTTATCAATATGCAGAGTTTATTAAACTACATATATCCATACAAATCTTTAAAAAAATTAATAAATAGCTTAAATCTATTCTATTTATATCTGTATACCGATGATACTATTTCTTATTTTGATGTTATCAACTATTAATGCGCCTATTTGTGTAAAACCTTCTGAGTGTGAGTGTAAAGTAGAGAGTGAGCCCCATTAGCCAAACACGAGTAACAATAATGGTCTTACTTGGCCTTGTGGAACCTCGTCCTTCTTATCTCTGTCCATCATGGGGATGGGCTGCAACCCAATCTTCTTCATCTCATCGCCCTGCGAGGGACCAACACGAAAACACGAGTTTTCGTTGTATTTTTGCATACCGAGACAAGTCTTCAGACCACTAGACCCACTACAAACAGCGGTTTAAAACGGCCACACAGCTGTGACTCTTCCGGGGGCACGAAATGACAATATAAATGTCTAAATTCCAGCCGCATCCTACTGTACCTCAGCCCAGAACTCAGCGTAGATGTCGTTGGCTGTGAGGCGTGTGATTTGCCATTGCTTGGTAACAGAACACAGGTCACACGCTGTCATCAGTAGACCAATCACACGGTCCCTGGAGGGGAAGCAAAGCCTCGTTACGGCCATGAGGAGCAACTAAGCGCGCCGCCAACCGGGCCTGCGCGCCGCGCTACGAGGCCTGTTGGGATCTCCGCTCGAGTCGTGGCCTCACCTGTGTGAGTGGTTGCTCAGGTCCAGTGCGCTCGCAGTCACCAGCTCCGACAGCTGCTGGTGGTTGTTGAAGTACAGGGCCAGGTCCGTGGCAATGATGGCCTTCCGGATGATCTCCAGCACCTGCTCGTACTCGCTGGAATTCAGGTTGGAGAAAATATTGTGCCCTTCCAGCTATGAGAAACAAAGAGATCAATAAAAAAGCAAAAGCTCCACTTATGAGGCGTTCAGCTCAGCTAGACCAACATCAGGTTGTAATCTCACGTCCACCTCCGGCCAATTTGGGTTAATGCGGATCCTGGATGTAAAGAAGGCAGTCAGAACTAAATATACATTTATGATATAAGCATCCACAATGATATGTTCATTTAAGTGTTAAGTGTCTTTGAAATGTTCTGTTTCTCGTCCACAGATAAACTGCAATTGAACAAACGAAATGCAAAAAAATACCTCAACTTGAGGTTTTAATCATGTGGTTTTCGTCTAGAAGTCAACTCTAAAGTAAATTTGAGTTTTCAAAACTATGTGTTTTTGCAAAGCTTTACTATGTTTTAAGCGGCCATCTGTCTTTAATAGTGGGTTTCACATGACCTGCTTTGCTAATGAAATTTCTCCACATATGGCATCACTTTCGTAACCCTCCCTTTGCTACCGTACATTGTATTTTGTTTTATCATATCTGCAATTCTTTTGCGTGAGGTATTTCCATGTCTTTCCCCACCATCTGCAGGTATTTAGACAGGCTCATGTGCTTATCAGGAAAAGGTCAAAAATGCTTGATGCAATGCACATTGCACTTCACAAAAAAAGGCTTATTTGTTGAGTATGTTCTTCATAATAGAGCTCTACCTGTAGGATGGAGACAGTCTGAGAGAAGTGGTGTTGCTCCATGGTGGAGCTGGAATATAGAGCAGCCAGCGGGTGGTCAAACTTCTGCAGGTACGAGTTGCTGTACCCCCGATGGTCCAGATCATGGCACAGGCAGGCAATCAGCAGACCCTTCTTCTGTGGGCCAGAGAAGAAAAAGACAAACTTTCAAATCACAAAGGAGCCCAGTTTCTGAACTCACTTTTCTGTATTTTATCCATCTTGGAGCAGTAAAACGGGGAGCCAACGAGGAGCAAACCTCTAGCTCTGTGAACATCCCGGAGGTTTTCTGAAGGATGGCGAACATGCAGTGTGCCACCGTCACCGCGTGCTTCCAGTTGTGGTAGGGAACACGCCGGTAGTTCTTCCGTACAGACATGGTGAACCGACACAGCTTCTCCAGCTCGAAGCTGCACACATGAAGTACGCATGAACAACAACAACTGATGGCCGGCGACGTCCACACAAAGCTGACACGAGCGAAACCTAACCTGGTCTTTCCACAGGAGTTATGAACCATGTAGATAAACACAGCTGGCCAGATCTCCTCAAAGGGACTAATGTCAAAGTGGAACCTGGAGGAGGGACGGCGAGGCGAGAGGAGAAACTTAAATTAGCATGTACAGCACACAGTGGGACACACAAGGGGACTTCTGAGGTGTGTTAAACTGTCAACTCGTCCTCCAGAAGACCTTCCCCTTCCTGACTTATGTCTCAGCAGGGTCTCAAAAAACGTGGCTGTGCAGCGTTCAGTTTTTATGAACCATAAATGTGGAACGACCTCCCAGAAACCTTTTTTTTTTTTTAAAAGACTGAAGCCTTTCGTGTTTGCTGCTGTATTTGAGTCACTTATTCTACTTAAGATTGTTTTTCTTTTTTTAACATCAATATTTGCAATTAAATGTCTCTAATTTGTTTCTTGTGCACTTCTTTTATGTGAGGCCTTTTTAGTGGCCTTGTTGCTGACATGGTCTATATAAATAAACTTTCCTTGCCTGTTCATGAAGAGCTTCTGGACTCTGTCACCACCACTCTACACACTCAGTAACGCGACAGAGATAACGACCAAAACCTGAAACGTGAAAGGGCACTCACATTTCGATCTCTTTATAGATGGGTGTGGGGAGGTTGAGCTGGGTGAGGGTCTTCCATTCCTCTGATGTGCAGATGCTGTGATAAGACAGCTTTTCCATCGTCACTCTGTAAATGCATTCAGAGTGCCGAATCCTGTGGTACATCTGCAGAGGAGGAGGTCTTTTAAATACCGAAAGACAGGTTGAATACTAAAAGAAAAAGGCTCCTATCTTTTTTTTTATTCTTTAAGTATCCCTGTTGTAACCTCCAAAAGGGTCGGACCTCGTCAAGTTATTTGCAAACGTCATGTGTCATATTTTATTTGTCTCAAATAGAGTCTCCACATCGCTGTCCCCTATCCAGACAGGTAGAGGCGCCAGGCCTCCCACCTCCCACCACCAGACCAGGAGCCAGCCCGAGCAAGATATCCTGGAGCCGTGGGGCATAAATTACAGCAAAACATAAATCCTGTCAGCAGACGGATGTGGGCTGCTGGTCTGAAATATTAACACGCCCCATCAATTTTAAAACCAACTTTGTGACGCTGCTCCTGCGTCAGGTTTGTCGCACGAGATGGCGAGTCGGGCCCCACAGAGGAGGAGGAGGCTTCCACAGACAGACCGCTCAACGCGGCCGCTGATTTGTGAAACCTGTGCGCGTTTCCTTCAATGGAATAATCATTGCGAGCAGAAAATACGCTTTAATTCATATTTTGGGGCAATGATTTGGGCGCACAGCTTTTTAGGCTCAACGTCTGATGAAGAGGGAAACCCACAGCCTAGTAACCGCTGAAAGAAGCCCTGCAGCCACGGAATGAATTTGCCGCAGTGATGAGGCCGCTACGTCAAAGGGGCAGTTTCCTCAAAATAACAATGGAATATTCATGACGAGGAAGAATTATATAATCCACAGTGCAATAAAGAGCAGGCTTATTCAGACAGATATGAAATTGCTGGTTTATGCTTTTTCTGTTGGGGAAAATCAGTCAGTTGTCATTGATGATTAACAGTAATCGAGCGTGTTAAGACTGCGTTCACTCACATTTGCACAGTGTAAGGCCAGAGCACAAAAGACAGCAAACATCTTAAAGTTGTTCTCATCTGTTTTAGTGAAGGCACTTCCGCTTAGCTTGTTCACCATCTGCACCACACCTATAACGGTCCCCCTGCTCACGATGGGCATGCACAGGATGTTCCGCGTGGTGTAGCCGGTTTTCAGGTCCACCTCTCTGTTGAAGGAGACGTACAAAAATGTGTTAATGTCAAGAAAGTGCAGCATGTGCAGGGTCGGTAGTCCGGCCTCTGCAATGAGTACACGTGTAAATACAGACTTGTCCATCAAAGTTCATGGAAAAGATAAGTGAAAATGCCTTTTACCGGTTGAACCGGGGGTCTGCATAGGCATCTGGGATATTTAAGACCTCCCCTGTCTGAGCCACTTGGCCAGCAATTCCCTTCTCAATAGAAAACCTGGATGGAAAGAGGAGGGCGGAGGACGACAGTCAGCTTTGTGGACGTCCATTGAGACTTCTCAGTCTATCGGTTCTGAGCCCGAATCAATAATTTGATAATAGTGTGAGAGATTATTACAGATTGAAAAAATACAATTTAGAGCACAGATTGTGTGTAGATTCACATTTCAGAAGGTATTGTAATGGTAAACTTTCTACCAATGGAATCTTTTCTTTGTCATAATAGGACGTTGTTTACTGTAAACTACGGTGAACACCGTCTTATGAGCCAAGAAACATCGTTTTGGACGTGTGTTGTTCGTACAAAAAAAACAAATGAATATGGATGAAATTAGAACACATAAATGATCAAAATCAGTTAATTAGCACACTGAACGAGAAAAAGGGTCAATCGTACACACCTAATTTCTTTGGTTTTCCTAAAGACAGGTTTGCCTTCTTTCTCTTCTCCAATATCGAACAGGTCAGAGTACAGTTCTTTGTTGTTGTGATCTACCTGGAAGAGCGCACACCTGTCTGCATTCACCAGGTTTTTTGCATATATCTGCAAAACAACACCAGAGACCAAACTATCGTTAGCAGCGGTTAGAAATAACTGAAAATCTAGTGCTTTTGTGTTAAATCATAGAATCACATCACAGGAGTTTTAGTGTTTTCTTCGGGACTAGTTAAATGCAGAGACAAGGAGGAGAACTAACTACAGTTCATTCCAACTCATTTCAGTGTTTGAACCAGATGACCTGACACCACAGCCACGAGGTAACAAATAAATACAAACAGAGAGGTGGGTTTTAGTGAAAAAGTAAAAAAACTGGGAAATCCCGATTTACACTCAAAAAGATCACATTTCTTTTAAGAAATTGTTATTTGAAAAACCTTTGCCAAGTCATGTATTTAGTTTGTATCTGTTATTTTGATAACAAATGTATCATTACTATCATCCTAATCATATAGTATCAGGCATTAAGGCTACTGTATATACTCTTTTTATCACACAACAACTAACACACACTCCCAGGATGTGTAGCCTTGAAGACAATGTGAATGAACACAAACTTGCAGAAATAACACTCACCATAATATGTTCAAGTAGAGAATCTATTGCCACAATGTTATCAAAGTATGTTCTGTGCGAAAAGAAGAAATGGTGCATTGAGATGTTGACAAATGGGAAGCTCTGATGACGTTCACATTCAAGACATGAAAGCTAATCTCTATATTCACTGAGCAAGAAGTTGTATTTAATGTTTGACCTGATTCTAAATGTAAAGACTCACTTTTGAGCCCAGATTTCTTTTGTCAATCACACTAAAACAACAACATTGTGTAACTAAACTTTGTAGTTTGCAGTATTAATATCGTGTTAGGTGAACTGTCCCAACAGCAGCTCTTACTTTGACACATCTAGTAGGAAGTCATTAAGCTCCGTCTGTTTGGCGAGGCCTCTGCACACCTTGGGGCAAAAGAGAAACTCCGGTCAGGACCCGGCATCCCACAGGCATCACACATTTCTCACGAGGCGGAGAAGCCGCCACACGTGTGCCGCCGACCAACCGACTTGAAGCTTGAAACAACGAAGCGTGTTTTGCGCCACGTCCTGTCCCACTGAGGCTGGCGGGTCCACTGTGGACCGTGCTGCAGCGGGACGCTGCTTCTCTGAGGTGTTCAGCTCTATGCTCGTATAAAAACAGCCCTTAGGCGTAATGGCGTCCTCGGGGAGTTGTTTGTAGAATCTATGGTCTGGTTGATTGCACCGGGGTGAGTGACAAACCGGATCCGGAACACGGTGGATTTCCCCCATTAAAACAACACCACAACAGACTAAGTGATCCGAGATCATAACAAACAAATACATTCTTGGTACTTGGTGGGATTTTACAGTACGGTTTGCTCACCTGCACTTGATGAATGGCAACGGATGCCCACGCTAGATTAGCTGTTGCAACCTGGAAAAGAAAATTAAGATTAGCTCCAAAGAAATGAAGCATAATTAGCACATCAGGCAGTGTGATACTCATAGAAGAGCCAGTTAGCCTGCGGATCCAGAGCCCCTCCTGGGACACAAACACCTTTTCTACTATTGCAGATACAAATTTAAGCTGCACTGGTAGATGTTTTTATATGAAAAGGGGGGGAAACTACCCATTCATTTACACATTAAACCAAACCCCAGAAATCTTATAGGGATTTTAAACAGAACCGGCTGAATACCGGACTAACTTGTTCTGGGAGCCTCGCTCCAGCCTTCCGCTCTCTGGGTTCGACTCACCTCCTGGTGGCTGAGGTTGAAGGGCTCCTTGCCCCACTGCCGATGCAGTTCCAGAATGGCAATGAGGTCCCCGATGGCGGTGATGATGGGGAGGCACAGGACAGAGTGAACGTGGATCCCTGAGTCCTGCCCTGTGCCGTCGGGGAAGCGCTCGTCCTGCAAAACACAGACCAGCGAAGGCTATTTTCACCTAAAGCGCAAAGACGTTTAGGCAAAGGGAATGTAGCTGTTAACAGAGTTAGTTGAAGATTCAAACTCTATTTGCACGGTTTTGTTGGTTTTAGAGCCTTAAGGTGCCCGAACCCGGTGGTGATGAGAAAGAAGCCATAAAGGGAACTGACAACATAACATCCCAGCTATGCAGTGAGATGTTAGCTTCCAATGATAACAGGGAAAACAGCCTCACCCCCATGATGTCCTCTACCAGCAGTGTTTTGTGAGTCTTGGCAACATGAGCGGCAACGGTTGTCCCAAATGCGATGGGGCCAGAGGGGATGAGGCTTGGAGGGCCATCCTTGGCCCCCGTTGGATTGAACAAACATAAACTCTAATGAGAAGCATAGATGAGAACAAAGAGAGAAACACACACAGCGAGAGAAAAGAAAAAAAAGTAAATTACATGACCACAACTGGATTCATCTACAAGATGTATTCAACAAAAGTGCTCTGCACTTACATTGTTGCATTCTCCCAAGAAGTAAAGTGCAAATCCATCAGCTTTCGTTGCTGCAGCAAACAGAGAAAAGTCAGGATAGACAATGTGAAACGGAAACGTTAGTGTGTTAAGGTCTCCAAAATCAATGTGTCCGACTCCAACAATAAATGGCAGGTATACCTGAGAGTTACAGAGTGACAGGTACAATTTAATAACAATCTATTAGCAATGTCCTACTTAAGGACGGCACTCTGACTGAGGGCTTTGACGGCTATCCACTTAATCTCATTCCCAGTCCTCCTCTCCAGTATTATTATATTATTATACTATTCATGTATGAATCATTTTTGCTGGTCATTTTATTCTTCTTTTTAATTTTCAATGGTTGGGCCACAGTGGGCAATTCAATTGGTGTCAGAAGTTCAATGATAGAAAAGTACATAAAATTGACAAACTTTCAGTATTACATTAAAACGATCGACTCCAGTCTCATGGAAAGACGGTTTGACGTGACGTTTGTGTGACTGGAACTGGAGCCGAGGGGGGTGAATGAGCTGGATCGTGTCTCCTCCCACCTGTTTTGATGATGCTGCACAACTCATAGAGCAGAAGTTTGTTGTCTCCTCCTGTGTCCAGCCGCTGCTCCATGTAGCTGTTGAGTTCATACACCACACCCTGCACATTTGTGTCCTGGTACTGCTGGACACAAGACACCCAGACATTACTGCTCCACAGCTTTGCAGAAGCACTGAAATTGAATTTCAAATTTTAGTGAGACGTCTGATACAGAACCAGGTGAGGACAACGCGCACCTGCAGCCAGCCTGGTGCTACCGAGGCAGCGAGCCACGAACTCACGCGCAAAGCGGCTTTTTTGGGGGGGAATGAAAGAGGATCATCTTCTTGCCGTTTACAAAGACGGGGCCATTCACCAACACATTACCCATCGCCTCAACCCGTACACTCCCCTTAACGGCTGCATTGTAGCCCGGGGATCCCCCCTCGCAGTCCCACCAGGAGGCCCCCGATTAAAGCCCTGCCAAGCTCTGCTGCTCCGTCTCAGCTTAAAAGTGTGGTTATGCAAGCGGCGGACCGCCCGCCCTGCGCGGGGCCGGACAGGCGTCTATTTCTGCGCCCGCAGAGAGGGTGAGGGCAGGACGGCGGGGAGAGTGGCGCAGTAGAAAGCCTCCCCCCCACGGGACGCCTTCTATCCTCCCGTATCCTGTTTGCACAGACGTATGGATGACGCACTGAGGGGGGGGGGTTCGAGTGGTCCCACTGTGTGCAAAGTCGCTTCCATCCAGCACTCGGGCCCTAGAGGGGCCATCGACACCAGGCCTCGTAGGAGCATGACGGTGTCAGGGTGACACAGGTGTGAGGATACACCTCCTGCCTGCGTATAATCTATTTCAACCCGAAACTCACCACTGTGCTGCATCCAACGGTAGAATTTACAGGTGGGAATTTTTAGACTGCTTTGTTGTTTTTATATGAGACAACGTCACCGTTATAGTTAATGGGCATCTTCACTGAGTACACAAGGATATTTTCGATGTAACTGAAGGACGGAGGAAGTTTAGTTTAAGCTGTCATCGTTATTATTCTCAAATACAAACTCAATATGTCACTTTGGTTAGTTTTACCAATGCGGGAGCAAACAAAGTAATAGAATAGCAACAGTATATAAAGCTGGAGCTTGTCATATAAATGTGTACACTTAATATGAAACTAAAACCTACCCTGGTGACTTCTTTAGCTGATGTGTCATCTGTAAGGAGAAAATTGCAGAATATTAAAATACAGCTTAAAGCAATATTCTATAAATAAAAACATGAATTCACAATCCATGAAATTGTTGCCCAAAGTGTTTAATATACTATTGAATTTAGCCACTTGGTCAGTAGCTGCTGTTGCCAATGTGAGCGAACAGTCTGTTTGTAGATTAGAACTCTTTCTCTTTTAGTAACACTTTGTTCATTTACAATCCATTATCACGTGAGTCTAAAGTGGCTGCATGGCAAAATACATGCCCAAGTTTAGCATTAACTAATATTGGTGAGTGAATCGGATTTAGGTTTGTTTTTTTGTCACTAAGCAGGTGGAGAAATGATGAAATGAAGTGAGTTGCTGTGACTTTCGCTCACGGCCCATTGAGCAACATTCTTCATTTAAAAGGAAGTCAGCGTGACTATGCAAATGTCAAGAGCAAAATTGTCTGCGCAAAAAAGCTGAAAAAAAACGGAAATCTGACCGGGCTGTTTAACTGCACAAAGGCTCACCAGCAAAAGCATCAAATAAGCGAAACAGTAGTAAACTGAATGGTTAATGAGGAAATACTTAAACAAAGAGCAGTATATAAAGCATTAATATACATTATGTATAAATAATGGATGAATACTTTATCTATCATTGATGTGGGGAGACGTTTTCTTAAACGTTATTAATCTAACTTGTAGTTAAGTGTAACATTTTGTGGCCTCGGGTGCAAATACCTGCCATCATTTCGGGCTGTTAGAGAGACAGTAGACGTGTGACTATTGTCTTTGGACACTGACATACGTGATAATAACGAAAGCCTCGCAACAGTTTCTGGATTTATAGTCTGGTTTTATTTTCATCCCAAGTAGCGCTCACAATCACACCGCTACAAGCGGTGCTTCATTACAAATGGGGGTCGGCAGCAAACAAGAACAGTAACCGCTCTGATCTCTTTGGTAACGCTGCATGTGATCAAACCGTACGGAAAGCCGGGCGATCTTTTAGAAGGATCTGCCGAAGTGGCGACTTGAGCTGCGTTGAAACAAGCCAACAAAGATGTGAAGGGGGGAAAGTACAGCCAGCTTCATTGTTTGTTGTTTTAAACATTCCTCCACTATGCTATGAGTTTCCTAACTTAGCCATGAGAGCTATTTTAGAGTGAACCCCCGGCCGGCTGTGACGTCAATCAGAGGACCGAGAGCTGCACTTGAAAAGACTTCAAACCATTTTGAAAAAAAAGAGAAGAACAAACAGAACCTTTGTTTTTTTTTATGACTTGATGAGGCCAAGAATATTCTGACACAAACCCCTTTGAAGGACATATTTTATATATATATATATATATATATAAGTATGTTAGAGACCTGTTAGAGGAAGTAGTCTACATTTTAAATATATATATATATATATATATACATATACACACAGACGCACACACACACACACACACACACACACACACACACACACACATCTGAATCCTATACATGAACAGGAGCCATCTTCAGTGAATATGAAAAACTGAAAGTACAGTTGCTGCATTTCCCTCACTTTACTGGTTTAGCTTTGATGTAGGAATGTGATGTTTACACAGTATGAAGTAATGTGGTATATGGTGTGTACATGGCGTAGAATGTCTGGTGTAGGTACAATGTTTAATGATATTTGAGATATATGGGTATATAAACCTGATTTGCATATAAAGATAAAAAGACCTACCAGGATATTTACCTCACACTCCTTTAATTTCATTTATAATATTCAGTATTTACAAGTAAGTGCAGATGCTTCAGTGATTGTAAGCGGCATCCAACCATTTTTCCCCATCAATGCTCAGGTCGACAGGTGGCAAATATATGACATAATGCTAAAATAACAGCGATGCCATCCGTGTTGGTGTCGAAAAACCACAGAAAACAAATAGAACTTAAGGAAAGTGATGGATAGATATTGACCTTTGTTAGCCTGTTGATGTAGGGGCCACAATAAGACTGTTGCTTCTTCTCAGCAACACATCATTGCCACTTAACATTACTTTAACGTGTTTCAGTGCCAGCGACTTCAGCAACACAGATACAGTACATCATATCAGTAAATTACTACACTGATATGAACATTTGACAACATCTTACAAATACATTTCTGTCACGCAGATGAATGATTCCCTCTGACACCAGTCTGATGTATCGCATACGAGTGGAACCTAATTCATCGCACTGGACATTGATTTTGTACATTTGTTTGCTAATTGATTTGGTTTTCATTTACAAAAAAGAAATATTGGACATATATCAGCAGTGTCAATCATATCGTATCAAGTGTCAATCATATCACCCAGTCCACCCATCCCCACACAGATGTTAAAGTCCCCCCCTGGAGGACTGATTTGTGTTGTTGCAGATACAAGATCAGTCTAGCAAACCACCTCTGTAGGCATCTCATGTGTAGCATTCCCAGTGGAAGCAGAGGGGGAGCACTGAGCACTGTGTACACACATTAAAAATGGTCTTAGGAGACAAAAAGTAACAAAAGGCGTTTGCGCTCGTAGGCTGTGTACGCTGGGTCTAGTAAGACGCAGAAGCCTCCTGTGCCCGGGAATCACAGGAAGGCAAGATCCAGTGGCCATTAAAGCTGTCGCAGTGAACCGGTGGCCTGGTTAGACCAGTTTCTTTAAGCAGTAAGCATGCACACGCATTCTCCAGCTGCAGGTCAAGCGTGGCTTTCCTGGTTTTCCTAGAAACCCCAAAAATGGCTCGCCTATTCTTTTGTCTATTACTGAATAAAAGTGTTTTGGTCTGTGCAATTTTGTATGGCTAGAAAAATACACTAGATAAGACTCCAAAACAAATATATCAGACAATAGTTTGACAAGTTTTGCAACAATAACATCTTAGTTTCATCAGTTGTGTGTCGTGGGGATTATCCCTAATGACACAGCTGCCCTGGGGCCGAGAAGTGTCTGTACCAATGTGTATGTGTGTGTGTGTGTGTGTGTGTGTGTGTGTGTGTGTGTCTGTGTTTTTTATCACACTACAATGTGGTCAGCACTCAGCAGGGGGACACAGACCAGCAGCCTGTTCCAATGCCATCCCATATGTTCAAGAACCTACTGTTGCTTTAAGTAAAGACAACGGGACGGGCCGACGCGTTCTCAGACAAGACACCGAAACACTTCAGCACTCCACTGATACCGTTATACAAAGACTAACTGTTTGTTGGGTGTGCAACACCAGGATGTGATGCATTAAGTTTAAATGTGTGCTACTCTGCCTTGTAACTCAACACTTAGCTCCTTTGAAGATGTCGTCGATAAAGGCACCCTACACTATACAATCGGATCGGTTTATTGCCAAAAATCGCAGATTCCATCTTATTGTAGTGGGAGATATTTGTTCAGCGGGAAAAACATATAGTTAACAAACACAGAAACCCCATCAGTTGTTAATCCAGGATAGATTCTTATTGTCATCAAGAATTATTTTCTGAACATATTTATACTTTGTCGTCTGTTAGCAAGTTGCATCCAATCAAATCAAAATCAGTCTGACATTGTTTCCCCTACAAATCCCTTTGTAATCCAAATTAAATGTCACAAAGCAAAGCACACACAGACTGCAGGTCAATAATATTCATCAATATTCAACTTGTTATGGTCTGATAAATCAAAGACAGTATGAAAAGTTGATTTGTGGTTCCCAAGGCGTGAATTATTGTGTGTTGGCACAGAGTGGTGACATGGTTTCAATAAAAAATAAAAATCATTAACTTCTATCAACGTGATCATTCAATAAATTCATTAATGAGTTTCATAAATACTGCGCAAAGTGCAAAGAACTAAATATTCAAATTGGGTCACTTAATCTGCTTTTTTGGAAACCACAGTGAAAGAAGAGACTGGGACCGTTTCCATTGCCGTCCAGCCAGTGGTGCACTCACATGCACTAAAAGCACGCCGAACTTGCACGGCTGTGACAACAAAGCACGCAGAAGCTCGGGGGAAAGCAAGATCACCTTCAGTCTCTGCTCAGGTAGACATAACTAGATTATATCTTTAATATTTGTGTTACGCTTTATTACTGCTCAGTATATCTCATTCGGAAGGATACGAAAAGGATTTGTGGGAGCACTCAGAACATACCAGCGGGCCGGGCCGACAGAGTCAGGCTCTAATGTGCACATACTTGATGGGCTCTTTATTGATCCGCCGCATGTACACACAGGACGGTCAGCCAGCAGCGAAGCAGCGGGTCGACCTAGTAGCCGTCTGCATGAACCCACCCACACAGGGTGGAGGAAGCCACCACAAGCCGTTAGTCCCCCACTTGTTTTTTTACTTGTCGTGTCAATCTGTACTTCTCAAAGACTTTGAGAAAAACATTTTTTCAACTTTTACTGAGGGCTGTGCAGGAGGCCTCCTCCTCCCTCCCGACGTGAAGCCCTGCAGGTGAGACGGCTCTTATCACGGTGCCGGGGTGTGAGGTTGTGCTACACAAGCACGTCTTTGTCTGCTCGCGACTGCCGTTCGAACACGTCTGAGAAACAGCGTCAGCTGCTCAACAGCTCGGCGATGCTCCTGCCCCGAGGGGGCCGGGCCTGCAAGGCCTGAGACTCACGCACACTCACACGCACACTCACACCTCTTCCAACACGGCCCTCCGCTACCAACGAGACGAGGGGGTCCGCCGCGTCGGGGGGAATTCAGCTTTTCAATGACTGTTCTCATCATGAACACCGAGTTTGTTGGGATTGCTGCTGAACTGAGAGGTATGATGGTGGATCATCACTTATGTTATTTATCCAGACAGATTAATCTGAACATCTTGGAATTAAGTCATGCGAGCTACGGAAACAGCAAACTGTTATTTTCCATATTTTCTGACCAAAAAGTGAATTTATATATTTTATTGAGGAGATATCTAATTCATTCAGAACTTCATTCATTCAGAACTTTTCAGATTTGAAAAACGTAGACCAGTCTGACTGGTGGACACAGATGTTTACAGCGTGTTTGTGTGTGCATTGTAGCGATGGGGCCTCTTGATGGGACTAGCTGACACTTTTAAGCTGATTTATTAATTAACCCCTGACAGCATTTGGTGTGAAGTAAACACAGCCAACAACATAACAGGTGTGATGGTCAAATGACATCAGTTGTGATTCAGTAATTATGAAACTGCACATTTATATTATTATTATTATGTAAAGGCATTTTTCTGAAATCAGAGTCTGTAATATCACCTTTGGATACAAACACACACACTTGTGTCTCTGTGTACAAACAAAATGATTTATGTCATCCAATGTAGCCCATCACATGATAAGTGAGAACGAGACAGGCTGCAGGGACTGCTTCCAGGGAACAGTGGTTATCTCAGTGACGATCACATGATGACAGCTCCTGCTGCACACAAAGAATACAAAAACAATCTGATCCCCACAAAGGTTCACTGCAAGCTCTGCAAGCTACTTCTATCGGCACAAACACATTTAGAGGAGAGGTTCAGCAGAGAAATGTGTCAAATAAACCTTTATTTCATATTCCAGCAATAATATTAACACTATGACCCTTTAGTCAATGTAGTGAAGATCAAACAATGCTTGTTGCCATGTGAGTGGATACAACCCCCCGAAGGCTCAACAGTGTCCGCTAACAGAGGAAGTGGACTTGCTGAGTGATTTTACTGATGTTAAGGTCAACCAAGAGAAATACAAGCAGCTTAAAGAGAGAGTTGTCTTTTCACGCACAGCTCAAGAGCCCAACTGCACACAGATAATGGCTGAATATTGCTTCTGCATTTTGTTAAGCGCAACTCATGGATACAATCGTTGTTTACTTCACTATTTTACCATGGCAATGAGATTTGTAGTCAACAAAGCGGTTAATTTGCTTCTTCTTTCTTTAACTGTAGATTTATGGGCAATTAGGAATTGGAACTTTGCATTGAGGGAAAAGCACAAGAGACATAAGCCAAGAGTACTGTGCATGTGTGCGCTGCGGTCAGGCTTAGTGAATCTGCGCCTTTCTTTGCGTGGGCCTTCGCCCGCTCTGCACTGAATCAACGTCTCTGCATGCAACGGCCTATACGCATCATGTAATAAACAGTTCCAAAATGTGACAAATCTGTCCTCCGCCAGTTTACTGCTTCACTTCAACACATCCACACCCTGAGCCAGAGCAACCACCCCCCACCCCCCCCCAACCCTCCTCCACCATCATCCACACTCCTCCCCTGGGCCCCCTTCAGCCGGCTGCATGTCTCTGGAGGTCGCCTCTGACGTCAGTAGCTCGACCGGGCAGAGCGCCAGCCCTGTGGGCCCTTGATGGATGCGGATGGGCTGAGAAACAGTCCTCTGTGTGTGTGTGTGTGTGTGTGTGTGTGTGTGTGTGTGTGTGTGTGTGTGTGTGTGTGTGTGTGTGTGTGTGTGTGTGTGTGTGTGGAGTGCATGGAACAGACTTAACTCGGCCCGCTCAAACACATATAATGACCCATAAACACCCGACAGGAACGTTCCTCTGCCATTCTTCCGTCTATCACAAACACTGATGATTGAAGGAGACAAACGCAAATATGAGTGATTTAAACTGCAAATGGCCAGCATGATAAACACAGGCCGCAGAGGCACACAGGTCACTCCTGTGTCTTCAACGAAAAAGGTTTTGGCTTCTCAGTGCAATAACAGAAAATGACTGACGTGGCTGCAGCCTGTATTTGTGGTTGACTTGTCAGGAACTCCTATGAGATTATGTAGCTAAAAGGTATAAACATTTGACCAAAGCAAAATATCACAGAAATGCCAAATCTGACTCAATAACCTGAAATCCGCTGATCCAATCATTATGGCTTCAGTGTGTGTGTGTGTGTGTGCGCGCGTGTGGGAGTGGGTTTACCTGCAGGCCTGCTGCTGGTCTTCTTCTTCAGCCATCTGTCCAACGTCTCTGCGCTCACACTCTCCAACACAAAGTCATCCAGCATCTGCGGGTGAAGCGAGAGGTAGGCCTTCACTTTCTCATCCGTCAAGCCTGAAAAACAAAAGCACATCGCAGCTTTATTTATGACTGTGGAACAATATAATGAAAAATGCTGGAAAAGAGTGAAGAAAAGAAGCGGCTATGAGACGACGCAAACTTAATATGACGCGCAGCCAACGGCCCGGTGTTCCAGACGTTCCCCCACAAACAAAAGGCCCAGGCCGGAAACAGCCAAAGGTCGTCTCTTTCTCTTTGCTGTGAGGTGAGGTCAGGCTGAGAGATAGCCGGGCTGTTTACTGTATTCTGCAGGGATAGGAGCCCCCAACAGAGGCGGAGCAGGATGGAGGAGGACTTGATTGTGCTTAATAGGCAATTGGGTTCTTGAGAGCTCGCTAAGTGCTGCTGTTTACGGTCTTTGCTGTCAAAAAAGCCATTTGCCAGACCATCGTTGAGGGAAAGTTGTTTTTAATACACCCGCTGGCGTCTAAGAGGCCGTCGCGATGCACCAGGAGGCCGTGACGTTTAGGTCACTCACACAAATGGAGTGTGCTTCTCATTCAGACACTTTTATCTAAAGCCAGACGTCACAATATAAAAAAAACAAATCTTACAGCCAGGTTGAATTTACATTATATGGCATGAACACAGTAATTATATCTGTTAGCAGATAAGGGTAGAACACAGCCCATTGTAATCAACAGCACATATTGTTTTTTATTCTTGTTCCCCACAACATATCGTTGTAAAATATAACAGCCAAAACATACGTGTAGACAGCACGACAATATTGCATCCACTTTAGTAACTTGTGGTTGTCTTTACAAAGCGATTTTGCCTTTTCAGGAATATCAATTCACTCTGATAGAATTTTAGAATCAGTGCTTCTGACTGTTTTAAAAGCCACCTTCAACCTTTGATACATTCGCTCTGAACAAATAATTTGATCTTCAGCTACGATGGATCATCTGCTCGATGTGTGCGTGCGTGTGCAGGTCGAGCAGGCACGTGGTTGCAGGCAAATAAGGCAAACAGAGGTGGGGGTAAGTTTAAGGGGTGGTGGACGCTGCAGTCTGACGCTGTCCAGACACGAGACACAGATCTTCAGGGACTGAACGCCTCACGAGACTCCTGGCCAGCTCTGACGCACATTGGCCAAATATGGCTTAATAAATCAGGGAAAGTTAAGGGGGGGGGGGGACTGCAAGGGACAGTAAGCCACACACAGAGGAGTAAAATGGAAGCGCCGCAAAATAGCCTCACAACGTTGTCCTATTTGAGACAAAGAAGGCATTGTGATTAGCGACACTACACAAAAAAAAAAAAAAACACAAGGAGGCTGTATTAATTTATGAATACAGGTTTTGTGTTGAAAATTATTCAACTATCATATGTGTGTGCACATGAACAGAAATAGTCAAATGTCCTATTTCCATGGGGCAGAAACAAATGGCTTGCAATTTTAGAGTGAGCATATCAATGGTTTCTAAAGTGGTGTTAAAATGACCATCGGAAGGGAATACCACGGCCCTCTAAAACAAACACTGCTTATCTCTGATCAATAACTTTTGGCTGATGCACTCAATAAATAGAAGGCTTACAATTGTCCTGCATGTCTATTATTTTCTTTTATTGTGAACATTTTGCAAAATTACCAAAACCAACAATGTGTTAGTTTGGTTCCCAGTACTTTCCAACAACACGCTTGAGGCTGTCCCCTCCAACCCCATTTGTCCCCACAGGAGACATAAACATAAAAGAGGGTACAAATAAATGCTGTCCCGCTGGACATTGTAGTTTTATTCAAACATTACTCAAGAAGGAGTAAATAGTGTGGTCGCAGACTATTTTCAGCAACGGATGGAGACATTTCAGGCGTTCTAGTGATTCCTTCAGGAAGCAAAGGTTATTAAACTATTATCATACTGCGTCTGAAGAGTCAATGTACTGCATCACGTTATATTAACGGAAGCCGCGCACATGACAGGAAAGCCTTCAAGGGCCGACTTCCTCTCCAGCAAATGTAAGAGCACTGACCAAACATCCTCGATCCTTTCTGTTCACCGTACTGACGTCTGATTCCTTCTTAAGTCCGAGCCACAGTGACATTCGGAGCTGTGGGACGGGAGTCAGTGTCCTGGGACAAAGGTGCAGCCACATCTGTCCCACATGCTGTGGTCCAACATGGTAAAAACCCCACTGGGAATCACATCTGGTCTCTGAATCAGGAGGGGCAGACCGCTGTGGTAGAAGCAAATGCTTGGGGACTGGTTTCCCCGGAGCTTTTTTATTTTCTCTTACTTCAGTGAAATTTCTTTTCCACTCGGGCAAACGCTGCTGAAGACAACGGCGTGTTCAAAACACTGCATTACACCTCAAACGCAAATGGAATCTAATTTGAACAAACAAAATGTGTCCAAATCCTCATCATCCTTTGCCTTCTTTTGATTACAACATATAATTGTCTGTATACAGTCGGATGTGCAAAGACTGCGACGATAAATCTCGGTGGTTGCAAGATTATTAAAAGGGGGGGGAACAAACTTTTGCTTATGACATAAATTTGGACTTTTCTCAAATCCTTTTGTGAAATATTGTGGCTTGAATTGTCATGTAAATGAAACCGTGTGTCGGAAGCAAACAGGGACGGGAACCACCGGTTTATTCTTTTACAAATTCTACTTTCCCTCTGAAACGTAGGGGAGTAGAAGTATAGCATAAAATATATCTCTTTATGCATTCTGAATACAGCCTCATTCGGGCAAAAGTACATAAGTCGGAAGCTCCTCATTGTGCAGCTTCGAAGCCATTCAGCAGAGATTTTGGTGCCTGACTCAGACTTGGACTTCCTGTGAAGAAACTGAAGCCCGAGTTCATGTTCGGTGAGGTACTGTTGCATAACACTTATCTTGACTGCAGCACACCACACCCTGGGCCTGGGAAGGGGAGACCAAACCAGTCTCCGTCCGTCTGGGTCTCCGCGCTCTCACGTCCGAGTTGCAGAACGAGCGCGCTCCTGTTTGACACGGAATGAGCTTCATGCTTTCGGGCAGCAGGTTGTGGCGTTGATATGGAATTTCCGGCATTGAGCACTTAATTAGTTTGAAAAGAAACTCTTTTGAAATTGAAATGAACATCAGCTTTGAAACCTGACGCTGGCGAGACGTCATATGAATTATAAAAGGTAATAATATTACGGATGGACAGTTATCAATGGTACAGGAAAGCACCCTGGGTATTTCTGGCGCTGCATTTCTTTAAAGGAAGCTACTGAAAAAATAGGGAAAGAAGATGAACCCCAGTGAAGGAAGGGCTTGTGTCATCCAGTTCCGCCCTTTTGATTTGAGCCTCTATGACCTCTATTCTTCCTCTGAGACGTGACAAACAGAATTTGGGTTTGCTCTGCACATCTAAAGCTGCCGATCGACTAGTTTGCTTTGTAAATCGCATCAGGTTTGCTGTAATTTACGTTCATCCCTTCTTTAAAGTTACTGTTTTGTCTAGTCGAACTAACCTCCCTCCCAAAATAGAAAAAGTACGCTCTGAACATCCTCCCCCAGGTGTGTCCTCACGCGCTGCTGCTGTTTCTTGTGATTGGGGGCGAACACGATGCACTGTTGGCTCCCTGCAGGTCTAGACCCCATTAAGCTGCAAGTCGTAAAAACAGCGCCGTGTTTACCGGCAGTCTCGCCCCGCTATTAGCCCAACACACTGCGAACCGTCACGCCCCCCCCCCCCCCTTTGAGTGCACGGGGGCAGATAGGTGGTCAGCGATGCACTCCGCTGCGGTCTTCACCAGGTGGGAGGAGGGGAGGGGAGTCAACAGGCGGTCTGTGGCGCTATAAATCACCCACTAAGATGCACGTTGAGACTCGCCGCGGCCTTAAGGGGTCCTTGAGCACGCAGCCGCCACCGGCCACCAAAAACATTACGCGTTCTACTGCGGGAAGACAGCCGCGGATGGACACCATAGCACAAACCTCAGGTGGAAATAACCAGCTCTATAGACAAAAATGGTTAGTTTGAGGTCAGAGATGGCAGCCGCAGGTTGCTTGGTGCAATATGCACATTAAAGAAAAGGGCCTCATAATAAGGCTACTTGTCAGCAGAAGTCAAACTGAAGAGGCCGTTGTAAGGAAAGTGGTTACTGTAGATGAGTGAGGTGTAACTTAATCGGGCATGAGACATTTGGGTAACCAGTATTTGGCGTAGAAAAGGCATGAATGGAATTGCAAAAAAAAGATTTAGACAAAAAATAGTAGCAAATTCTACGTGGGACTCCTTGTTTAAAAACTAAACCCAAATATGCAGATAAAGGAACATTTTAAGACCTGCTAAAAACAACGGCCAGCTCCATCCATCACTCATTGGTTTCCCATGATGCATCTGTGTGTGACAGTGCCTCAATGTGTCTTTCGAGAGGGCAAGCTCAACAGCGGAGGGTGACGCAGGCGGCGCCCACGTTTTAGTGAGCAAGATGTAACCCCCGTGCAACACATAGATGAAAAATGCACATGAGAGTAAATGGGAAAAGACCACTTCTCTTCAAGCGCACTCCTTCTGGCTGAGAGTCAAGGGCAAGCTGCCAAGGTACTACTTTTCACTTTCCTGACATGAGGCTGAGGGCCGGAAAGTGGAGGGTGGGGAGGGGGAGTGCGTGCGTCAGCAGGTCCGCCTGGGACTCCCTTGCCAGGAGGTGGGAAGAGCATGTGGTTCTTATCTTATCTCTGGGAGGGCTGGAGCACAGCGTCAGCGAGCGGCGAAGAGGAGAAGAAAAAAAGGAGACCGAAGACTGAAAGCGCTTTGACTCTTCCTCTCCGACTGCCCCGACTCATTTATTCATTGAGCCTGTGCATGTGTGTGCCCAAATACAGGTAAACACACACACACACACACCACATTCCACGGCAGCTACGGGTGAAGTGACTGGCGCAGCTCAAATCAATATTCAGCCACTGAAAAGACGTCAAATTAAAAAACAGTTGTTTCCCCTAGACTGTAACTGTAGTTCGATCACTTCCAGAGACACTCCCCTGCATGGTGAAAACAAACAC